TTGTATTTGAAGAGTATTCCCCAAACAATTAAAACCACTGCTTTAAGACAAATCATATCCAAAAACGGTTTAAAAACATGGTACCACTGTCTACACAGTCAGTCTACTGGTATGGATTATTTAGCAAAATGAAAATGAATGTGACAAATGTGAGTAAAAATAAAAACCCAGTGACAGTAGTGATTTACAAGACCAACCAGCTTCATTATTCTGTTGCTGAAACAGTTAAACAACTGAACAGTCAAATAATTGAGATGAATTAAAATTTCAATCTTTTTTTTTTAAATGTCAAACATTATTTTGCTCCAGCTGCTCCACTGTAAAAATCTGCAACCAATCTTTGTCAGATATGATAGCGAAGAGCTGTCATGATCATATACATGTTTTGGGGATTTATACCATTGGCCAGACATCACACACAATTAAACGATGTCAACTTGGAATAGTTCCCTAGTTTTTGACATTTTATAGACTGAAATGTAAAACAGTTTATTGCAAAAGTCATTGAGAGATTGCTGATAATGTATCTGGTCATTTTTGGAAATGATTCAAAATTATAATGAAGGCCTGCCATTTATTTTGCAGTGTTGAAATTGCTCTTCAAATGTATTAACGTGTACACATCATGTCCGTTTGTAAAGTTTTGGGAAATCAGCATTCATCTCATAAGAAACAATACTGTTCCTTATTCACCTTATTGTGAAAACCTGTCAAATACACATAAAGGATGCAGACCAGACCAACTCAAAGACAAGATACGCAGATGCTTTTTTTTTTTAAACAGTCATCAGATGTAATGCGCTGAAAGGAAGCAGTCCCACTAAAGAAAAACAAAGCTCGGCATTGTAGCTATTTACATGCTCACATTCTTCACCCCCTGCTTCTTCATCCATGACGGGCTGCGGTGGCTGAGAGGGCAACACGTTCACTGTGTTCCTCACATGCCACAGTCTCCTCCATGCCGATGCTTTTCTGTGATGCCACAGAGATCCCCACAAACACACTGAACACTGGTTTGTTAGCAGCATCAAGTGAATGGTACAAACTGACCAGAGAACTCACACAGTTTTATTTATAAACTACTGGGTTTGTGGAGCCTCTGCAGCAGCATCTCTGTGGAGTGTTTATCAGTGATGATTGATGAACTGTAGAAACTGGTCAGACCATGTGATCAGTTTCATTTTTCTACTTCCTTCCCACTCCTCCACAAGCATCACGAGTTTAAAAGTGCAGGCTAAATCTTGCATGGGCATATTTTGCCCCCACATCCTGCATCTTGCTTATGCAAAGGGAACGATCAGTAAAACTGAATCATAGTATAACAGCATGGAAAATTTTTCTCCTGACATTCTAGAGGACCCATCTCCTAGAGAATGAACGCCACCTCTATAATGAGGATTAAATGCTCCTTGGGCTCCACTCTCAGGCCTGGAGGGAGCTCAGAGCTGCTCTGTCTGATCTCTGAAGGACTGGATTCCCTGCCCGCAGGATGGAGAAGAGCTGAGGGTGAGGCAGTCTAGGGGTCAGGCCAGGAAGGTTGACAGCGCAGGCAGGGAGGAAGGGAGGGTCAGATGTGATCCTCCATGGGGAAAACCAGGCGTGTGCCACGGCTCAGCAGCTCATGCTCACAAGAGTCCAGTTCATGCTCCAGTGCTGCCTCTGAGTTGCTGCCACTCCTTTTGCCATTCACACTCCAATCTGACCCTCCAGCTCCATCCCCCGAGCTCCCAGACGCCCCATTGGCTACGATGGCAGTGTCACCAAACGTGAAGCTCAGGTCGCCATCATTTTGGATGAGGTCAGAGTCATGGTTCCTCAACTGCTCGTGGTTCTGCAAACACATCCACAGTGGAACATGAGGGAAGGGATGGTACGCAAACGGGAATAACACACACAGATGTAGGACACAGCGAGGATACATGTGCTGGGAACAGACTGAAATTAAAAGTGCAAAGGCTCATAAGGGACACTGAGTTTGCAGAATGGCAGGGAGGACACTTTGATTTAGTGGCCCTTAGTGCAGCAACTGGAAGTTAAGATAAATAAAGAACACAACACAGGAAACCACAGGCTGCACAGTGACGGGCAAACCACTCTCACACTGACATAGCATAAGTATTCAGTTAGAAATATATTTTAGTTGTCAAGACTCAAAGGTACACACAATTATCTGGGTGGGGAAATGGTAAACACATCAAATAAATCAACCTAGCACTTCATATAGATATGACTGTTTTATAATCCAAACATTGATATCAATGTTTTCTTTGTTTGTTTGAATGTTTTCAAACCCAGATAATTAGAATGGGTGGGAAAATAGGTGGGAAGAAAATGGGTTATGTAATTGTTTTCTTTCTTTGTTTGTTTTTTTTGATTCTGTCATCTGAGTAATTCATGTGCTGACATGGTGTTAAGGCATCCTGCTTTCTCTGAGGACATGGGTGGATTATTGATTGTCAGCCACTCAATTAGAGCTATGAAAACCTCATGCTACAGTTTCGCAGTCATCCCTTACTTAACCACACCTTTGAGTCTTGACAACTAAAATATATTTCTAGCTGAATATATATATACACACACACACACACACACACACACACACACATACATACATATATATATATATATACATACACACACATTTCTAAATGATCAAGAAGCCTATTTAAACACAGTTATCCATATATCCATAAAGTAGTGCTTTTGTTTACTGGCAGGGACTGAGAATACTAACAATATTACAGTTCTCCTGAGAGACTGCTGAGCTTATTGACCTGCTCCTTCATTGGTATAAATTACCATTTAGAAATTTTAAAAGATGAAAGTATCTATTTGTGAACTCAGGGTTTATGTCTTTTTAGGTTAGAAAGTACTGAGGGACTGACTACCACGCTGTTGGCTTTGGTCTTCACTTTGGATGTGTCACCAGCTTTATCCATCAAAAATAATCTAATTCCTTTAGGCAGATTTTTCTAAGTCTTCGAAGTTTTATTTTTTATTCCACAATTTAACAAGATTGTTAAATTAAGTTTAAAAAATATATATAGCATTTAAAAAGCTTGGGAAGTACATCTACATCCAAGTTTTAAGTGTTATACAATTTAAAGGTCAATTCCAACAACAAATCTCTTCTGTTTGTGGGGTATTTTTCCCCATCAACATTTCATTATATCCATAACCAAAGAGGAACCTTGAAGGGAGCTTTATTTAATCTTCTCACTCCCTACTTGGAAAAACAGAGCACTGGACGTCCCTGAATTTACGAACAACCATCTAAATTCACTTCTTGCCTGGCTGGCGGCCTGATGCTGGCAAATCAACAGCAAGAAACCAGGACAGGAAAACAATTACGGATGCAGAATTTAAAATAGAACAAAACTTTCAGAGGACTAAAATTTGAATGAGAATCTATTTCTACTTTGCAGTAAGGAAATTCAATTGAGATACTGTAACTCAACAGTGACAGGCTTTCTGGTCTCCTGTGAAAGGAGGGTATAATAGCAAAAAGCCTCCATGTGAAAGTATTTCACATGAAATGAAAAGGAGATGCTGCCAGAGTGAATACAAGTGTGACAGTCCCACCAATGGGTATTTCTCTCTTTAAAATATTGCAGTACAGCGTCTTTCAGAACAGTGATCATCATTGAAGTGGCACTGAAAAGGGCCTTTTGTGCCCTCTGAATGCAAAAAGGCTTCATGACCATCCATTTTCTCTCTTGCTGAAGGCCTCGGTGCTTTGTGTGTTTACTGGCAGGCACTGAGAATACTTTAACAATATTACAATTCTCCTGAGAGAAAAGCCTTTAGTATGCACAGGGTGCTGTCCTGAGACACTGGGCTTAGGTCTGAAGTTAAGAAAGGAAAGAAACTACCACTTTCTAGTCACAGAATGCTGTGTTTATAGCTAGTTGATAAAATTAAATCAGGCTTATTCATTTTAGCTTGGAAGTATTTTTGAATATATTATCTGCTGAAAAATGTCATTGTCTTAACGATGAATACATAATAAGTATGCATTTGACTCTGACCTCATTTTTTGGAACTATAAACTAAAATTTTGCCAGCTGAAAGCTATATGCATAGTCCCACTATGCTGCTCTGCTAGCAAACAAACAACTAACACAGTCTAGTGTGGTTTCATATGATGAGCGGTGTTAACTACTTATGCTACAATGTATTTACATATATAACTGCCCCTGAGTTCAAGATGAACTATCCAAAAATTTGACAGACAATAGAAAGGCATTTTGATATAAACAGCTTGGCATTTTATGACTCATACTTGTATTTCATGTATCAATTTTAGTGCCTGTGCTCTATATGAAACTACTGTAAGCAATCACTTAGCATGACACCGGAAACAAGGGGAAACAACTAGCCTTGCTCTGGCCACAAATGAAAAAAATAATCCACCTCAACTTTTTAAATTTTGTACAAATGAGATAAAATGTGTTCATTTGTGAGCTCTAGAGGTCCTGGTAGATGGGTTTTTAACCTTTGTTACGGGCTAGCTCTTTCCCCACTTCCGGCTTTTGTGCTAAGCTACACTAACCAGCTCCTGTCTGTATATTTAGCATACAAACGCAAAGTGTATTAGTGTATTTACCAAAATGTCACAGTGTAACCTTTATAACCTCTGACTGGTCAAAATGTAGTGACTAGATTTTCTACAGTTTCTGCAGTGTGAACAAGGGATTTATCACAGTTCACTGGTCATGTAAGAGTGCCACTGACCTCGTATGCCTGGGGACTAGTCAGACAGCTTGCCAATGGCCCACAGTAGCTGGGCAGAGTGGAAGTGAGAGGCGGACCACTGTGTGTCAGAATGGGCTTCAGGTAACTGGACAGTTATTAAGGAGAAGGCCAAAAACAGCTCAGTAATAATTAACAGTGGGTAAAGGCTGTTGGATGGAGTGATGGGGCATTTATAAGCTCTAAGTGCTTTGTAAATTCAATTCAATTTTTCAATTTAAATGTATTTGTATAGCACCAAATCACAACACAAGTCATCTCAGGATACTTTACAAAGTAAGGTCTAGATCTTACTATTATTATTATTATTATAGAGGAAAACCCAACAAATCCCCCTTGAGCAAGCACTTGGCGACAGCAGGGAGGAAAAACTCCCTTTAATGGAAGAAACCTCCGACAGACACCGGCTCTTGGTGGGCGGCCTTCTGCCTCGACCGGTTGGGGTGAGTGGATAGAGGAGAGACAAAAGAAGAAAAGCAACAAGACACAACAATCAAACACTGATCAGGTCGATGTGGCTGGTGACTGCTCGTCAGAGATGTAGAGCTCCAGGGCCAGGGCAACCTGCAGAAA